AGTTCAGAAAAGCAAACATTTTCCAAACTTTTAAGGGAACAAATCATCTTACTATTATGACAACTCAGTATTAACTTAGTTTTTGTTTAACAGTAATTTCTGCATTCAAGAGCAATGTATATGATTCACTGTAAGAGCAATTGAAGAAAATATAAAAGCACCTTTCAGTATGAAATAGCTGTGTTCTTCTTCCTCTTCTTTTTTTTTTGGTACCGGGGATCGAACTCGGGACCTTGTGCTCGGAAGGCAGGCAGTGGAACCCCTGACCTAAATCCCTAGCCCTAGACTAATTCTAATTTAAAGTGGTCCCACCAATAATTTTACAACAAAAAAGTAGAAAAATATTCAATGTTCAGTAGTTTCTAGAATTGGAATTTAGCCATTTTCTTAGGAAGAGGGCAAATCTAAGAAGGATCTCGGGGCTGGGTGTGGCATGGTGTACGGTGCTGGCTCTCATGTGCCCTGCCCTGGGTTCCATCCCAGCACAAGAAAGGAGAAGGAAAAGAAGAGAAGAGAAGATAGATCAGTTTAGTCAGTGCCACCGTGGAAGATTCCTCACAGGTGGGCCCCTCCAAAGCACTGTTCCGCTAAACTATCTTGCCTTTCACAATTCCTCTGGACCCAGAGTCCAACCTCATTTCCTGCTCTCTGAAACGCTGCCTCCGGCAATCTGAGAGTGGGTTATTTTCTCTCTCACACGATGCCTGCACACCAGGAGAGTGGTGCCGGCCACATCTGACACATACCTGGCTCCCATCTGGGGAGATCTGCTGCAGGGTCTATGGAGGTTTGCTTAGGTCAGGGCGCTGTTATGGACCCATCTTTCTCAAATCCCATGAAAGCAGTCACAATTTCAATCTTTATTCCAAAAGCCCCTAATTCAGAGGAGGCTATTTTAGTATATGTGCTGCAAGCACTGGAGGGGCCTATTTTAAAATTAACAGTGACAACTCAAAATAACAATCTATTGTCATTATTCAACCAACACAGTGTGTCCTTGAACCTCAGCGTATAGTACCAATTCTAGCACTTCACACTGGGTGAAGTGCTAGAATTAACAAAAGCCATGAAACTAAGCAACTGACAATGTTATAAAACAACCACAAGCATCTCTTTACCTGGGGGAGTTTTACCACCCAGACTGAAATCCTATCTGGAAAGGGCTGGGCTGGACTGGGCTGACCAGGGAGGCCTTGGGGACTCAAGCTCTGGGGGTGAGGGGGCAGCCCCAACAGGACCTCCTCCCACCACGGCACAAGACGGCATCACCCTCCAAAGGCAGGCTTGGCCGCAACACCTGATGCTATGACAGGTGTGGTGCTGCCTGGCCTCTGAGTCCCTGTCGAGGTGTGGGCCGGTGCTGCGTGTGAGCCAGAGCCAGTCCAGCCCACAGCTCTGGGGAGGAGTCTGGGAGGCCTGCGGTGAGGATCTCTTTCCAGGATAAGAGGCTGCATGCAAAGAATGCCTCCGCCTCCTCGCTGGTCAGTGGGGCCCTGAAGCCTGGAGCTGCTGCAGGTGTCTTGTGACTGAGGCAGAGCCAGAGGAACCAGGAGAGGGGACACAGGTGACGCTGCCAGTTGCCAGGGCAGCCTTGTCTGGCCAACCTCTGGACTTCACAGGGGAACCCACCAGGGCATCAAAGCCACTCTTAGCCAGTTTATTATTTGCAGCTGAAAGCTTCTCTTGACAAGAAGGCAGCTATGGGAGGAAGACTAAATCCCAAAATAATCCTCAACACCTAAGGAAACTGGTACAGAATCAAAGCCCCTGCTAGAGCAGTAAACCCAGTCCTGAAGGAGCCCCGGGAGCAACTCGTGCAGCCGCCCGTATGGGGAGCCCAGGATTGACTCAGGGCTCAGTGCACCAAACAAGGAGAAGGAGATGGGAAGCCAGCGGAGGGCCTGTGTGATGAGCCATGGGGCTTATTTATCTATTTAGGGTTCTTTTTTTTTTTTGGTACCGGGGATTGAACTCAGGACCTTGTGCTTGCGAGGCAGGCAGTGGCACCCCTGAGCTACAT